GCACACGGGGCAGGGGGCGTGCGCGCAGCTCGGCGCGGCTGGCGGGGCTGCGTCCGCTGGTTGCTGGCCGCACTGACCGCCCGCCGTATCGTGCCGTGCACGGCTGCAAAGCATGGCCTCTCACATCCAGGGGTATTTTGGGGCGCGTGGGAGGTGCGGTGTAACACAGAGTTTGAAGCGGGACACAACATCACCAACTGCCTGCTCGACACGAGTGCGGAAGGGTTACATCGCGGCAAGTGGTTGCTTTGATACAAGCCAACAGGTCGACTACAAGCGAGGTGCGAAAAGGAAGAGGAGGCCGCGGTGCAGCGGCGCTGCCGCGGCAATCAGGATGCTTGAGCGTGGGGAAGGGGTCGTGGACGAGGCACACCGCGGTGGCTGGCTGGGACCAGGCCCCTTGAGCTGGTCGGCATCACTGCTGCCGGGGCGACCGGGGCGGCTGCTGCTGCTGCTGCTGCTGCTGCTGCTTCTGCGCCGCCGCGCGCTTCCACGGTTGCTTGGGCGCCGGCCCGCCTTGCGCGGCGGCCGCCGCCGCCTCCCCGGCCTCCTCCGCAGCGATGCCGGCCGCCAACTGCGCCGCGACAGGCACACGTAATAGAAAGGGAAGGGGGTCATCAGGAAAGGTAGCGTCACGGCGCGTATGATTGCACAACACATCAAGTGCACGGCCAGCAAGCGGCGCGGGAATTGGAAAGGCCACCCTCTGCCGCCGTGCAGCCCCAGCCCCCACGCACCTGCTGCCACTCGCCCAGCAGACCCTCGCGGCTCATCTTGCCCTTGCCGCCGCTGCTGACATTAGAGATCATTTTCCCGATGCGCCGGCGGCCTGGGCGGGCGGTGGCAGTGGGAGCAACGTGTCAGGTGCACTGCGCAGGAGCCAGATCGCCCCAGCCTGGAGGCGGCTTCCACGTGCACGTGGTGCAGCGGCCGCCGCTCTGGACCCCCACAGCCAAGCGGAGCCCCTGCCCCGCATGAAGGCAGGAGCCGTGCGGCAAGCGACGCGAACACTGGGCACCCCCGCCGCTCACTGCGGCTGGCGTTGGCCTCTCGCTTGGCGGTCGTCGTCGCCAGCAGCTGCTGCCGCTTCTCCCTTTGCTCCATCCGCTTCTCACGCCACACGGCAGTCTTGCCGGCGCTCTCGTTCGCAACCTGCAGCGCGCGACGTTTCCAGCCGCTCAGACCTCAAGCATCGCAAGAGTCTTGTGACAGTGCGGATTCAGATACCCAGGCGCTGGCGCGCTGCCGTCGGCGCTACAACCGTCCGGCCGTCCGGTGGGCGCGGCGCCGCAGGTGCAGCTCTAAATGGCAGCGAGTGCTTCAATGGCGGCGCTCCGTCCCCCACAAGCGAGATTCACACCTGCAGCAGTGCCGCAGCCTCAGCATCCCCCTCCGCAAACAGCAGTGTCCCGCCCTTCGTCTGCAGCAGCACACCGCCGCTGTCGGCGGACAGCGACGCGGCGACCGCGGCTGCGGCGTCCGCGGGGCCGTTGATCTGGACTTTGACCAGTTTGTGGGCCCTCAGCAGCTCGCATAAGGACCTGGAGATTGGGATAGGCAACAAGATGTCATGTAATCTGTTCCTTTATAACGGCAATCGACATACTGTACTGCAGGTGAGCTATTCAAACCGTGGACTCGGCTGCGATCAGGGTGCGGCGTGCGCCAGGCGCAGCTTGGCACTGCCACGCGGCGGAGCGTCTGCCGCGGCACGAAGCGGCCCGCGCGTGAGCGCCGTCCATTGGGCGCCGCACCTGCCGTGAGCCTCGGTCGCTCCAGACTTGCCGAGGCGCAGCAGCGCGCGCGACACGCTGTCCCAAAGCAGGCGCTGCTGCTCGTCTGTGAAGGCGCTGCTGCTGGCACCGCTACTTGTAGTGGGCGCTTCTGCGTCCTGCTGTGGGGGCGTCGAAGGTTGCGGCGTTCGCACGGCAGCGGCGGCGGCGGCGAGTGTGGCGAGGGGCGCGGCGGCCGCAGACGGTGGCGCGCAGCAAAGCAGCATGAAGGCCCCGGGTGCAGAAATGGGTTTTGGCATGCGATCGAGGTTCAATGTATGGTGTTGGCAGTGGCAAAAGCGTTCGCCATGCCACGCTGGGCCTCACCGCGGAGGCGCACACGGCTGAAGGTGCCGAGCGGGTGCCTGTCCACTTGTGAGGCTGTACTACGCGAGCAACAGCAACATATCTGCAGGGGCCCGCCCGTGTCAACGTGCGGGTGTGCGATGCTGCCGCGCCGCGGCCTGAGAGCAGAAAGGCCATTTCGATGGAACAGGTGTTTGGATATAAATCTGATATGTGGTGCAAGGCGCACGCATATAAAGCACTTCACGTCCGAGGCACTCATGCTGACCTGCGAGCACAGCACATGTACTGTAGATGAGGCACGCCGCAGGCCAGGCGCTCCGATGTCAGCAATCACATGCGAGTGTGGTCACTGCAAACATTACATTGTTGCGGCCTTGCCACGGGCAGCGCAGGGCTGCTGCATGTTTCAAATTGACTTGTTGACCGCCGACTGCCCCCCACAACTCTGGCCGGCTCCGCTAGGGCGCCGCTCATCTTTCAGCGCGGCCATGTAGCAGCGCCCCGATTTTTGAAGCCATCCAGGTGTTGGGGCATAACGACGGCCTCCGCTGAGGCGGCTTGTTGCAAGCGCTTGAGGGTGCTGTGCGCCGCACAAACCCAGGACGAGCATAGGCATGGTGAGCGCTAGCAAGCATGAATATGCGTGGTGCTGGCCAGCTGCATTACACTGACGCTTCACGGAGTCTGGAAAGCATTGAATTTTAGGGGCGCCCCTTCCGCCCATGGCAGGCCCCATGCCACGATACAACGGCAGAGCGCAGGGGTGGGCGGTTCCGGGGTCGCTGCCACCAACCCTGCGGATCTCCGGGGGCGGATACTTCAAGCTGGTATCTTCATATAATTGTGTGTTGGCTTTCTAAAGGTGCCTATCAGTGCTTCGCGGCGCACGTTCAACTGATTGAGGCGGCACCGCCTGCGAGTCTGACATGACCGGCACCAGCACACATGACTCACGGCCCCTTTCTGCGGTCAGCCCGGCCTCAAAGCCACAATGGACTTTGTTTTCCTGTTATTATTGTCTTCCTATTCTGCTTTTTGACCCTGTAATCTCTTTGACTATTCCGGACGTCTTGTACTACTCGCGCCAAGGATCCGAGCAGCTAGCCTTGGCCTGTTCTGTATCAAATCATGCCTTCAAATATTATTGATCTCAGCGATAACGCACCTACCCAGGTGACACATGTCGCCCACCTTGATAGATGGCGGCCGCTTCCCCCGCCCCCTGTGCACGCCGTCGCCCCCCCCCTGCTCCTGCACAATGCGCAGCGCAGCACTCTTGGCACGATTGTATTGTTCTAAACACAACTGATATCAGTATGGGCCCATCTGATCTGAGACCGCTCTGCACGCTACACCCTTGTCAAAAAGTCATGGCAATCCTCTCACCCCCCCCCCCCCACTCACCTGCACTGCATTGTTGACCGATGCCGGCCTTCCCGCTCACGTGCCCCCCCCCCCCGAGCAGGACTGCAGGCAATCGCCTAGCAGAAGCTGCAGCCCCCAACCACTGGCCGCCGAGGCGGTCGCCGCCGCCATGGCGTCCCTTATGCTCGCGGCCGGCCAGGAGCCCGGTGCCAGCGGCGGCCCGCCGACCACGCCCACGGCCGTGGTGGGCGGCGGGCAGCAGCTGCCGGTTCACCTGGCTGCATCGCAGGGCGCCTGCGAGGTGAGATACTCAGTTGCTACTCACGAGTGCCCGTGTCCGTACTGTACCAAAGATCAGTGCGCATCCATATGTCTTGCCGCCTGTCTTAGCTGCCGTAGTCCGACCGGTGTATGCTTGGTGCAAAGGCCGCCGGCGGACGGAGCAGGGGTGGGACAGGGCCGCTGAAGACCGTATTGGCAGTAAAGCAGCAGCAAAAGAGCAGTTGACAACAGCGCAACGACAGCAATCATCCATTGTTTTGCCACCCTCATCACCATCGCTACTTGACTGGGTCAAATCCCACGCACTAACTTCACAACACTTTGCTGTGCCACACCCACACTCGAACCGCAGGAGCTGGAACTGCTCCTGTCTTTGCCTGGCGCCGCCGCCGCCGTCGACGCCCGCACCGCCGCCGGCGCCACCCCCCTGATGCTCGCCGCCGCCCGCGGCGGCTGCGCCCGCTGTGCGCGCCTCCTGCTCGCCGCCGGCGCCGACCCCGCCGCCGCGGACGGTCGCGGCTGGGCGCCGCTGCACGCGGCGGCGCGGCGCGGCCACGAGGGCGTGCTGCGCGCGCTGTGCTCGTCGCCGGGCGCTGACCTGGATGCGCGGCTGCCGGACGGCTCGGCCGCACTGCTGCTCGCGGCTGAGCACGGCCACGCCGGCTGCATCGAAGCTCTGCTGGAGGCGGGGGCGCACCCGTTGACCGCTGACGAGGACGGGTGGACGGCAGGTCACTGGGGAGCATTCAATGGACAGGAAGCGGCCCTGGAGAAGTGGGTGGGCGGCCTCGGGGCGGGGGGCGCCGCTGCGGCCGCTGCTGTCGCGGCCCTGACGGCGGACGGCGACAGCGCTGCTGACCTGGCGGCTCAGGAGGGGCACGAGGGGGCAGAGGCGCTGCTGCTGCGCGCGGCGGCGGCGGCGTTGGCCCGGCTGAGCGATCGCAAGGCAGAAGACAATTGGGCAGCAGATGATGCCGCCCCACACGGCGATCAGCAGGAGTGGGACATGGCCAGTGAGGCAGACGCGCCGAAAGAGCGGCAGCGCAGAAGCTTCAACCTGACCGCCGTCGCAGCAGTGGGTGGTGGTGGCGCAGCTGCATCCGCAGCCCCGGCCATAAATGTGTTGTCTGATCCGCTGATGCAGGCGGCGCCAATTGTGGCCACTCAGGGCAAAGTTGAGGGTTTCCCGTGATGTCCCCTTATAAGCACTGCCCGTCAATTTTGCCCCCACGCCACCGCCACCGTGGTGGCGGCGGTGACACGAACCAATCGAGTGCATTGGCAGGATTGCTTCGACCCATGCAAGTCTGCAGAGGTGTGTCATGGGCACATGAAGTGCACTGTGCCTACCCTCCTACCTCCAAACCGGCATTGCTGGCCGCGTCCTGCAGCATATTGTGCAGGAGAGCAGCAGCAATTTGAGATGTCTGCATGAAGAGTATTTACAGCCTGTTGCATTCCGTGATTCTGCTTGAAAGTCAAGCATGGTACAACTGGTCATTTTGGGTCAAGCATGGTGCACCTGGTAATTTTTTGTTTACTTACGATTGACCGGACGAGCAATTCCAACTCAACATGTCCAGATGGCTGGCTGTCAATCAATCAAGCCAGAGGCGGTGAGAGTGTTGAGCAAGTAGCATGTGCTTCATGCGCCCAAGTGCAGACTGGTAGTGAGGAGAGCACAACCCTCACACATTGCTGAAACCTGCTCCCTTGATTATATGTAACGCTAAGCACGCTGGACACTGGTACTGCATCAGGCACATTGTGGTCATGGTCAAATCTTTGCGACCACTTGCTGCTCAACAAAGTCCACAAATGGTCAAAGCCCACCCAGTACTCAGCGCTCCGCCAACGTCACTGATGACGCGCCACATGAGCATCCCCTGTATCAAAGCTGCCCTGCCGCCGCGTTGCCGCCGTAAAAACAAAGTAGCAGTGAGCGCCGGCCGCCACCCTGGCAGGGCCCCAGCGCATGCCGACCCGCCTGGCAACGGGGCTGCTGGCGTCTGGCGCTCAGGCCGCCGCCTGGGCGCGTGCGAGGCGGCTGTACATTGCTGTGGCGAGGTAGAGGGCCACTAAGATGTCATCAACCCACCTGCGGCAGTTCGCAAACATGTGCATCCGATGTGATAAAGGTTCATGTAACGTAATGCATGTGATGCATGCGAACGTGTGTGTGTGTGTGTGTGTGTGTGTGCGTGCGTGCGTGCGTGCGTGCGTTCGTTCTTGCGTGCGTGCGTTCGTGCGTGCGTGCGTGTGTGCG